TGGTCTTGGGGGGCCAGCCCGGGAGCCGCTCCAGCCCTGCAGCAGCGCGTCATGGCTTGCATGCCCCTGGGGCACTGGGGCTGAGGTCCCCTAGGATTGTCATGATAAGAAGCTGAGGTGTTTTGAGCTTACCTCTCCAGTAGTTTAGCGAGGTGGTCGTTGGCTTGGGGCTCAGCAGGACTGTCATCCTGTGGTGCACGTGAAGGACAAGAGCAGCCCTCCCATTGGGTTGGCTGGGGCTGGGATTGCAAGAGGAGGGCCCAAAGCAAGCAAGTTCCTCCTAGGGGATTTGCTAGCTCTGGTTATGTGACTGTCTGGGTCGTGCCATCTTTAATATCTGCATTTTCCTTTGTCTTCCCCCTTTCTTGACAGATTTATCTTCAGCCAAGCGGAAGTTTGCAGATTCCCTAAATGAATTTAAATTCCGCTGCATAGGTGATGCTGAGACGGATGATGAGATATGCATAGGTAAGTACTGGGTATTTCTTTAAATGGGTAGCACTGAAGCCGTGCTCCAAATCCTTGAGCTGATCAGAGCTCGTAGTACGTGACGTAGAAACACACACATGGATATCAAGAAGCCCAGAAATTGTTCTGAACTCTTTCCTGCCCTATGGAAAGGTATGTGCCTTTTAATTCAACATTGGCAAAGCCTTCACATAGGCAGCGGTTGTGGTTTCTTGCCTTAAACCTAGTTCTGTCAGATAGGCAAGGAAGAAGACTGTCCGTATCTGAAACCATCTAGATTATCCTGCCGTTTGCCCTTTCCTGTTTGAGTGCAGTGATTTGGAGATGTAGCCACAGCTAAGTATACTACAAGGGACTGTGATCTGAGAGAGAAACAGACTGCAGTCCTATTAGCTGGGCTGTGGTAGAGAGCGAATGCCTAAAATGTCTTTCCCCTACATGAACAAGCCGTCGAGAGCCTAGCAGTCCTCTCCAAACTGTGAACCTGTCTCTACCAAAGGTGAATGCAGTCTTTTCTAGGTTCAAAGGAGCAACTTCTCTCACTTCGTTCAATGTTTTCACACTTCTACCCAAGGTGAACTTTTAGAGCTTGCTATATGAACGCTTTGCTTATTTATTTGTATTCAGCCTCTTGGCAAAAACAGTCTCTCGTTGAAGTCCTCTTATTGAGATAGAAACGGTGCGGTGAGCTGTCACTTGTGTGCTGAGCACAGCTGAGGCCTGTGTTACGTGGTAATGCTGATCAGTGGCTGTCCATGGGGCAGAGCAGTTTCAAGACTAACGTGCTGTCCTTCTCTCTGGAGGTGGGAATATAGGGCTGTTGCTGCTCTGCTACCTGTCATGTTTATAGGTAGCTGTAAGCATTTCTAGGGGAGAGGGCACATGATAAAAACCCTGCTCAATCCTCTGCCCGTATGTGGGAGCTGCATAATAATTCATTTTACTGTACAAACCCAGCAGTCTTAGTCCTGGGCAGTAGATTCTGAATGCTGTTTTGTCTCCATTTGCTACAGTTCTTCTGGAATAGTCAGGGTTCACCTGCTCCTGTTTTGCGTGTGTCTGTCCCTCCCCCAGTGTGACAGCAAAAAGGAGGAAGCAAGCTTGACTTGCTTGCAATAAATGAATTGAAGAGCCCAAAAACTGCTGCTTCTGAGCTTGTGATGTGCAGAGCAGTGTCTCAAGTGAATGCAGTGCTCTCACTGGGAAAACATTGCCTGGCCGGTTAGCTGGCTTGGGGTATTATTTCCCCAAATGTTCCCTTGCTCGCAGATTCCAAGAAGCAGCCGACCTCCTGATAAAGTTGGGATTATGCTTACCTGGAGCTAATCTGCAGTGTGATCTGACCTAACTGCCTGGGATATCTTCCCTGAGGAGTGGTCATCGCCAGACATGTGTTGCTATGACTACTTTGATGTTAGAAGTTTAAAAAAAAAAAAAAAAAGTTAAAAACTGAACTTGTTGCTATGTCTCTTTCAGCCAAATCTCTCCAAGAGTTTGCCACCGTTCTCCGGAACCTGGAAGACGAGCGGATGCGCATGGTATGGGCTTTGCGGTGACCAGCTGCCTACTGGGGGGGGCAGGTGTGCCTGAGACTGGTGGGCTCAGAGCAGCATGAGGTGTCCTTTCTCCTCTCCTGTCCCCCCTCGCTCCTCGTAGAGGAGCCAAATTGCTGGGTTGTATGTGTAAGAATGGGAATAGTCATCCTTGAGGGATGAGTGTTGGCAGCGCATCACTGAGCTGCCACCCCACTGAGTGGCTCCGCACCAAGGGGACCACAGCCAGCGGCCCCTCTCTGCTGGTGCACCTCTGCAAGCGGGTGATGGGGTGGTGTCCGTGCCGCTGTGGTGTGCAGCAGTGCTGCAGGCTGAAACGGCCCTGATCCCCCTTCCTGAGCCCGCAGCAGGCGGCACCTCGGAGAGGAGAGGTGGGAGAGGGAGCCATACGAGAGGCAAACCTGCAGAGCATTAGTTAGGATATCTTGCTTTTTGCAATTGGCCAGCAACGGTGGTGGTAGGACATAGTTGGGGTAAAGAGAACAGTTGGTTCAGACATCTTCTGTCTCCTATCTGGATCCTAATCCAGCGTATAGCTGGAAGAGGATGAAGGGTGCAGATCTCAGTAGGCTGCAGGAGAGTTTCCCTAGGAAAGGGTCCTCATCCCAGGAGGCTGCAATGTTGGTGTATGTTTGAATGGACTGAACAGAGAAACACCGCGATGCGAGTATCTTAGTTCTAAACTGGACACCCATGGGGCTTGAGCGTGGGTCCAGCCTGGGTGCAGACGCGAGTAGAGAGGAGATTGTGACTCGTGCCGGTCTTTCCACAGATCGAGAATGCCAGTGAGGTGCTCATCACGCCGCTGGAGAAGTTCCGCAAGGAGCAGATTGGCGCTGCTAAGGTAGGTTGCTCCTGCACCAAGTCGCCGGCTCCTTGGGGACCCTCTGCACCCACTCTGAACGAGAGCCCCTTGGCTGGGGGAGGAAAAATCCGCGGAAACTTCTCCAGACCTCCCTTTCCAAGTGAAACGTGAAAAGCAATGGCCATGCCTGCTTGGGGACGGGGACAGGTCTGAGCTGGTCACTGCACATGGGGGAGAAGTCCCTTGCCTGTGGGACAGAGAGATGGGGACAATTCCAGCTCATGTTAAAGCACCTCAGTGTTTCCAAGTTTGCCTGTAACCAAGTAACCTCGTGCAGAGGTGAGCCGTGTGCCAACAATCACGTGCTGATTTAAGTAAACTTGTTTTCTCCCTCCAAACCTCAAAGCCAGAATTAGCGTTTTCTCAGACGAATTCTCAGTTGCCTGAAAAAAGCCTCAGGTCTGTTCACTGCCGTCCCGCGTGAGTCACTGGGACGTTCCACGTAAACGTGGACGGCGTTTAACAGCACGGGCGAGCCCTGGGGAAAGCTGGGCCCTGCACCAGGACGTCTGAGAAGCTGCTGTGAGACACAGCCCCTGCCTTTTTTTCCCCCCCCCCCCCACTTTCTTTCCTGTCTTTGTTCTGAAATTAAAAATGCTGTCCACTGCTCTTCTGTTGTTACAACAACCTGCTGCTGCCTGCAAGAAACACGTGCCAGCGAGCAGGGCAGTGTTTGCGTTGCAGTGGTGTGCTGAGCTCCCCGCTGGGCTGGAGTGCCCGGGAGGCACGCTGGTGCGTCCACCCAGGCCAGTCTCTCTCATTTTGTGCAGCTACAAAAAAGTAGTCCTTCAGAAACGAGCCAGTTATTAGCATGTGTCAGGTCCTGTAGATATAACCGTTCTCCCCTGCTGACAGCATTGCCTCCGCAAGACAAACTGTTTGGGGGCTACCTGCCCTTATTTCTCGCTGATGACCTTAAAAAGATACGATCCAGTATGCTGGGCTGGAGTAGCGTAGGTGGAAGGGGCCAGCGCTGGGGTCAGCGAGCGTGCGAGGCGTTACTCGGGGGTGCCTGTAACGCTAGAAACGCCCCGAAGCACTGATGGTGCGGCAGGAGGTGCTGGGCCCCGGGGAGGCCGAGGCGGACGGAGGAGCGGCCGCGGCCACGGGGGCAGCAGGCGGCCGGGCTGCTCTTCCCCGGCACCGCTGCTGCGGGCTGCCAGGCGCCTGTCGCGACGTGCACGGCTTCGTGTTTAAGCTGCTGCAGCTGGGAAGGAGCGTAGAACTTCGTGTCTTGTTTCTGTGTTGGCGTATAACCCGTTCTGTCTCCAGTACCGAAACAAGCTGTGTGTCGTGAGACGCTGTTGGCGGCTGGTGTCTGCCCGAGGAAGGCCACGTTTCGGCAGAGCGAAGGTTGCGGTAGCCCAGAGCCCGGGGTGGCCGGGCGCGTGCGAGGATGAGGCGGCAGATGGGAACGCTTCCCGGCAGCCCTTCTGCAGATCCCGGCAATCTGTGGCTCGAGGCCTTTGCCAGTAGCCGCCAAGGGCCGTATCCGGGGCCATGCCGCCGGCCGTTTACGGACGGAGAGGAGGGCTGGGCAGCCAGTGCTCCTCGCTCCTGCATCCTTTACTGTCACCGTGCCCTACCAGACTCCGCGTGAAGGAAGCTGGTTTGCTGGTAGGGAGAAGCTCGCCGCCTCTCGGATGCGCGGGCTGCCAGGGCAGTCCACCCTGCCAGCGCCGATGCAGGCAGTTCGTATCGGAAAAGCAGCCTGATGCTGATCAGACTGGAGCTGCGCCTCCGTTATGGACATAATAAGACTTTGGTTGTGGATTTCGTAGTTGGCATCCTGGGACAGTAAGAAAGGCCTGAACTTGCAGTGTAACTTTCAGCACTGGCGCGTTTGCCTATTTGCTGGGTTTTATTTGCCATATGGTGCTTTTAATACAGGAGCGTGGGAGGAAGCGAGTGAATTGTGTCACTCGGATGTGGGCAGGAGGTCGGTGCGCGAGCGTGGTTTGAATTTTCCACACCAGCTGGGTACAAGCAGTGCTGGCTGTAAGCGAGCGCCGGCGGAGCGGCACCCTCCGGGGGCCACGTTCGCTTGGCAGAAGCGCGCTGCCAGGGGGAGGCCTGGCAGGACGCTGGGGTCCCTGCAAACGCGGCGCCGTGCAGAGGGCTGAGCCTGGGGCCGCTCAGCAGCCTGTGGCCGTGCAGCTTTATTTTCCCGGTGTTGGTCTTGGCTGTGCGCCGCACAGATGTGTCCTGTGTGCTGCCAGGGCTCTCGGGAATTGCTGCCCGCACCCTTGCTTTTCTGTCAGTCCGCCCCAGGAGCACAGCTGTCGCAGAATGCTGGGTTTTGGCCCAAAAGCCTGCCTGATTTTTCTTTCATCTGTTGCCGTCGTGTTAGTGGTTTGAACTTGCCAGATATCTTCCCGTCCATACTGCTCTCTAGGACTTGGAAACTTCTGCACATCATGAAATCTGATGGCTCCTGACTCTTCTGAAAATGTTTTTCTTTTCCCCCTCTCCTGGCGTGGGCTGTGGGTGCTCTGAAGCTGAGGGGTGGGGGCTCGTACCGGGAGCCTTTACTTTGACACCTTTACTTTGATAGTTCGGGCTGGCCAGTGCCCAGGTTTCTTTCACCATCTGCAGCTGGCACACGAGCAAAGACTCTCGTGTTACGTCCAGCGAATGATCTGTCTGGGCGGAGTGCTGTGTATATGCAGCTGATTAAAAGCAGGCGTGTTTGGGGTTAGGAAGCTGCTGTCCTGCCGCTGCCTTCGTTTTCTGTCCAATTTGAGCCCTTCAAAGCGTGTCGTCTCTGAGTGTGGTTTTAGAGTTGCTATCAGTTTTTAGAAGAAGCTTAAAATAAACCTGACTACTTTGCCTAGTGCAGGCCCTTGAAAACAGAGTTCTTGCAGAGAGTTTGCTGCGAGCCCTCTGAATACTGAGTGTGCAGGTTGACTTCTCCTAAGATGAGAGGTGTAAAAGAAAAGTTAAGATTGATGTCCTCCTTTGACACTCCTGGCACAAATAACCAAGTTACTCTATGATCGTTCTGAGCGACAGGATAAGCTACTGCTAGGTTTGGCAGGGGATGGGATGAGAAACTTGTGATGATGTTCTCATTAGCTGGGTAGCAAACACTTTCCTCTGTTATCTTTGGTTGAGCACTGGGACTGGAAGTGTTAATGAGCTTTGGGCCTTCTCTCAGGTCTTAGGTTTTGGTAGTGAGATCCGTTTTCCTGTAGTTGCCTGATGGTCACAGTTAAAAGCAGCTGATGGCCTCAACCTGCTTTGTAGTGGACGTGTGTCCCAGTCTTTGAGCCCGTGTTTGGAGCTTCTGCCCGCTGGGGTGAATGCCCCAGCTCCGGACAGGGCAGCGCGGCGCTCGCCTGGGGCGGGGGGGACCTGCGCAGGGACCAGCCCTCCGGTGGCACCCCTCATGCTTCACTCGTTTTGGAGGAAGCGTGTTAGCTGAAATTCCTGTCAATAAAGCAATGAATGTTGCAGGGAAACTTCAGTCCCCACCAGAAAACATTTGTTCCTCTCCCCTGAGAGCGGCCCAGCTGCTCGTCCTGACCCTGCCGTGCCGACCAGCGCTGCCTTGCTTGCGTAAAATCCTTTGCTTTTTCCTGCGTCTGCTCGGTGCCCCTTGGGTTTTGTCCTGTCTGGTACATGCTTTGCAAAAGGGGGTCACCTCGTGCCTGGGACTCACCAGCCCTGCGTAAAGCAGCTGTGATGCTGTTGCAGTCTCCTAACAGCTGGCGCAGTACTGTTGTAGCTGGTATAATACTTCTTGTTCTGTTTTGTAGGATGCCAAAAAGAAATACGACAAGGAGACTGAGAAGTATTGTGGTGTCCTAGAAAAGCACTTAAATTTGTCTTCTAAGAAGAAAGAATCCCAGCTCCAGGAGGTGAGACCAATCTCTAGGTTTCCATGTCTAGTAGTACCTGGTGTTGACATCTTTTTGAATACATTATGCAGCTTACTGCTTTGTCTTTCCCGGATGTAAGTCTATTTTTTTTTTCTCTTTTGGCTGTGAGTGGCAGCATTTTCCCCTCTTTTTATTATCACAAGGGACAGAGCTGTATTGGTGAGTAAATCGGAGAGATCTCCAAATGGATAGCAATGAAAAAGCATGGAGAGTTTATAATTAACGACTGTAACACAAAGGAAGTGGTTCTGCTGCGGGCCTCCTGTGTGCCGTGACGAATCATGCATGTCTTTGCTTTCCCTCTCTGGAAATGGCTGCACTGGCTTTGTGCTTCCTGGGAAGAGGGGTCAGGCTTAATGCTTTTAAACTGCTTTAGAAGCCTGTTACTTAGTCGGGACATAGTTTGCTGCTGTGCCAAATACTCTTATTGGGTGATGGCACTCAGTTTTCAGTCACTTCTCCCAAGTCTGGGATTCCCTGAACTGGCCCCATGCTTGGCTGGTCCTTGCAGGATGCATGTCCTTCCTTTTAAGCATAAAGCCAGTAGGTCACTAAGCCATTCTGGAGGGAATCGAGGGACACAGGCAGTGACAGGCAGTGACTTTTGCATTGGAATAACTGGGGTTTCAGTACGGTGTCCAGCAGAACTGGGGACGTAGCCTGAGTCGAGAATGCAGATGCATCTGTGGCACAAATGATTGTTTTCCTCCAAACCTGAGCTGAGGAAGGGATGAGGGTGCCGGTTGCCGTACCTCCCGCCCGCCGTGTCCCTGCTGGTTCTGCAGCGCTGACGGCTGGTGCCATCTGCTGGCACTTCCACCTCCGACTCGGCTTTGGCTTTTGCTGCAAGGGAAGGTGCTCCCTGGTGCCTGCTCCCCAGCTCGGGTGTTCGTGTTTCCAGCCTTTTTCCCCTCATGGCACTAGAAGGCTGATTCTCGGGCTTCACAGAGAAGTGGGTGAAAACAGCAGTGCGATGTTCAGGTTGTTAAATGGGGGTGTGGCATCCAGCAGAGCGCGGAAACGTTTGCCCTGTTTTACCCCCGCTCCCGGGCTCCCTGGGACGTTTTCCCGCTTGTGAACAGGCTTTCCGGGAAGGGGGCTGGAGGAACAGTAGAGGTATCTGGAAGAGTTACTGATGTGACAATAGCGCTTAAGAAAAGAAAACATCAACCCCTTATTAGCAGTCTGAAGGGTCATTAGACACCATGACGTCCTAGGAGATGAGTCTGCGTCTGGGAGATTTGGTGTTTTATGTTTCCTACACTCCTCCTGCTGTCCACATCTGGAGGATGCTGGTGGCCACATGTGCAACTGCTGTAGCAAAAGGAGGAGAGAAAAAAACCATGGGAATTCTCTGCTGCTTGGCTGTTGACCAATTAAATAACATACTGAGTCTAATTCGCCATTTAACTGCTGGCAAAGTCATTTTATTGCATCATATTTTCTGCTTTTCAGAACTCAGTTTGCTAAATATCTCAGACTCTGCACCGTAGAAACATAGTACAAGTGTTGATGACAGGTCATGGTGAAAATATACCATGTCACGGCTTTGTCGCAGAGAAAATCGGGAATAAGTTCCACTTACAAGGAAGTGGATATTTGCCAGCTGTGTCTGCAGAGCACAAAAGCAGACGTATGTTCAGCTCTGGCAGGATGTATGAAGTAGCCTGCCCCTCAGGTTTGGCTTGTTGCTTCGCTTACCCCAGGAAGATCTTCCCAGGAGTCCTGTACTGCCCGGGCCATAACGGGGATGATAGAGGAGTGGTAACTGGAGCTCCTACCACCTCGTGTCCTGCTGTCCATGCTGCATCACACGTGGTCCAGTGCAGCCTCTAGGGGAAGAGTTGGTGTGTCTGGAGAAGGCAGAGTTAGTGACAAAGCTGCCGTTTTACCTATTTGTAAAACAGGAATAATGATAATTCCCAGTCTCCCTGGGTGCTGACTTTAAGGTGTTAAATACTCCTTAGTCCTCAATTAGGGCAGAAGAATTTGCCTCCTGTTGAAAGATGGCTCAGTCAGTTTGCACTGAGGGGACTTAGACCAGCACTGAGCTTACCAAAATCAAGGTCAGAAGGATCATAGATGACCTGGACTGACTGCCCTAGATCACAGGTCCAGGGTACTCTGCACAGAGTTGCACGTGTGCAAACAGTAAAAATCTGTGACACGGGAAGGCAGCCAGGTGGCACCTGCACTCCTTCCCCTGCTCTGAACGTGGTGGCTCTGGTGCGCATACATGATGAGGCTGTGCACTGTGATTGAGGCATATCCCTCTCTGGGCTCACGTGGGCCTTAGCTTCAGAGCAGCGGGGAGTTGCTCTCTGCTGATCCACTGAAGTGAAATGTCCTTGTTAGAGGGCGGTGGGGCATGTATACCACCTTGTTCAAACACAGGACATTCCTGGAAGTTTCCCTTCATGGAGCTTTCCAGAAAATGGAGAATTGTTTCTTATTTTCAAGTATGTAGACACTCCTTATGTGTCTTGCTTCTAATGCATGCTTTTCTACACAGCTGTCAAGGAGGTGAGAACGTAACAGTCATCAAAAACATTTTTTTCAGCTGAAGAAAGAGCCTGTTCACGTGAATCAGGTTTATATTTAATTGCCATGCCATCTGTCCGGCCCTGAACTGATGTCTGAAGCTGAATTTACGTTCTGCACGAACCCATTCCCATTAGACCCAGATGTCTTCTAATCTTGAAGCCAAATGTTCACAGTCAGTAGTGATTTTGTGTTTCCTCTTTAATCTCCATGGCGCTTGTAGGCAGACAGCCAGGTGGACCTGGTTCGGCAGCATTTCTACGAAGTCTCCCTGGAGTACGTCTTCAAGGTGCAAGAAGTCCAGGAAAGGAAGATGTTTGAGTTTGTGGAACCTGTAAGTGAATGTTGAAACTCCTTTAGCCTGCAAAACGTTTCTGACAGGCGTGTTTGTTTTTTTTTTAATTTTTTAATATACCATCTGGCTTGTTTGAAATGATGTGAAACGTTTTTCATTTTATTTGAGGGATAAGGGCTGGACAGTGCTGGTGGCACCCGTGTGTGGCAGCCCCACGGGCAGGCATGGCTCAGGGCACAGCTCCTCATCCCACTCCCTGGGTGGGATGACACCTCGGCTGGACTGGGTGCCTGTAACCGTGTCGCCCCGCTGCCTTTGTCACGGTGGAGAAATGCAATTTTTTTCTCACCCCGCTCTGGCACCCCAGCCAGCCAGGAGAGACAAGGTGAAGGTTTTCAGAGCAGGGGGAGCAGCTCTGCAGGGAGCCAGGCACTGGGGTGGGGGTTCCCGGTGCGGAACGAAGAGGCTGATGGGGTTAGGAAATGGCAGGGAGGTCTCCAGGAAGCGGAAAATCCAACCCATGTGCCTCCTTGAGAGAGAGAGTTGAGGGAAGCAAGGAAAAGAAGTGCCTGTGGCGATGCCCTCGGTCCTTCACCGGAGGGTCGGGATGTCCCTCTGTGAGCACTGGGGCTCGGAGCCATCAATCTTCAGCTCGGTGATCACACGTGGACCGGGAACATTGCTGGATTCGATTGGGCTGTCATCTCTGCCATTGATGGGTCATAGCTGCTTGCTCTCAGGCTGCAGTGCCGCTGGCAATTGAAGGCTGTGTTAGAAGGAAAATAGACTTGACTAGGAAAAAAGGGTAGAACCTGAAGTGAACTGTAACTTTTACAGGGGAAAAGAGTGTGCAGGAATGATAAAAATTGAAAACATAAATTTCCTGACATGTACCTTTGCTCAGGTGCTAAGTTTTTCAAAGCTCCTCTAGGAATCGTAAAACCTTCTCTGCTGTTTGCAAAAAGTAATTCCTTTTAAGTGAAGAATAAATTGAGGTTAAGAGAAGCAGGACTTTGGACACGATTGCTTATGGCCTGACTTTGCCAACGAGTCTTGACCCTGTTCTCAGAGAAGCGAGTGTTTAAATAATGCAAGGGAGGGAGGAGGAGAGACAGACCCAGGGAAGGGGAGGTTTGCTCAGTTGTGCATTATTTATTCATTTATATGAGATCATTCAAAGAGGATTTTTTGTGAGCTCGGGGTCCATGGGGATGCTGGGCTGGAAGCAGGGGGTGGACAAGGCTCGGAGAACTGGGGACAGCGGCCTGAGCACGGGGACCGTTTGCGCCTTAGGATATTGCACGTGTGTTGGCCCTTGGCAGCAGCTGCTTTGAAAGCGGCTGTGGGTCTCCACTGACAATCTCCATCCCTTTTACCCCAACGCAGCTGCTGGCCTTTCTGCAGGGGCTTTTCACCTTCTACCACCATGGCTATGAACTTGCGAAGGACTTCAGCGATTTCAAGACGGAGCTGACAATCAGCATCCAGAATGTAAGTGTGGGAAGGCCGTGTGAGCCTGACCATGACCGTCTTGCAGAGCAAACTAATGTTTTTTTTGCTATATTTTAATTAAGTTTTCTTTCCCCCTTTTTGCGTACCGTCAGCCAGGAGGTTTGACAGTAATTGAAAGCTATACGTTTTTGTAAATAGCGCTACATCATGCAGACAACCTAAATGGCAATTTATTCGTCATGGCATTCCAAATACAGAGCTCCAGACTTTCTCAGGAGAAGCTGGCCAGCAGGCAGACGTCACTGAGTGCCCCATAGTTTTAGTGAGTGTTTCAGACCATTTTGCAAGTATTTCAAAGCACTGTTTGTCTTAGGAAGTGCCTCATTTTTTTTTGCCAGCATAGTCTCCAGGGCTGCTGGAGAGGAGAGCTGCCACTAGGCACCCCCAGAGCCAGGCATGTGGTTAGTGTCTGCAAGCCTGACTTGGACCTGTGTCTGCAGGGGCTTTGTTTGGCATGTTGGCATTGCAGCATGCTTCGCTTTCCTCTTTTGTTATAAAATTACTCTCTTTCTACAAAGGACTCAGACTGGTTTCATTCTTTTGAAACAACTTCTTCAGAAAACTCATAAAACATACAACTTGCCAGTTGTTGTAATATTTTTCTTTAAGTTCAAGCCCAGGAAAAACCATTCTGTGGCTGACAATGGGCTCTTCTGGCCCCATTTTCCACGAGGATTGTTGTAACCCAGCTCTGGGGTCCCCTGCCTGCAGCCTCCCACCGCGTGGTGCTCTGTGAAACAACACGGTCCTGTCTGTGTTAGGGCGAAGGTACCGGGTTGCCCCAGCTGCCACTGTCTGGGTCCTTGCTACCATGCAGGCACGCGGCTGGAGAGCCGGCGTTGGCATCAGGCATGCAGCGAAGCGGGGAGGGGGCCGCCCCAAAGCAGGGTGCCAGCGGTGGGGCAGGTGGGAGTCCTTGCACGCGCGAGATGATCCCAAGGGGGTGAGCTGAGATTGCCCTGGGGCGGCTAAGGGTGGTCGAATGGAAAAGGGTAGGTGGAAGTTCTTGGAGGTGTTTTAATGTAGCGTTTTGCGTGAGCTTGAATTTGCTTTAGAGTACATATTTGAGACTCAGAAAGGATTTGTATTGCCCTTTTTTTTTTCTTCATGAAAAGCTTCAGAATTTATTGAAGTTTTCTCAACTTGCAGAATGGAAAAACAAAGGATAGGGGAGTCATTTCCCAGGTCGCTCTTCTGTGTGTTTGATTCTGTGATGTCTGTGGGTACTGGAGAATAATACATTCCTACCTTAATTTACAGACAAGAAATCGTTTTGAAGGAACAAGGTCGGAGGTTGAATCATTAATGAAGAAGATGAAGGAGAATCCTCATGAGCACAAGAACATCAGCCCGTACACCATGGAGGGTTACCTCTACGTGCAGGAGAAACGTAGGTGTTGGTGCCATGGTGCTGGCCTGTCCTGCACTGCCTTCCCAGGGAGCCCGGTCGGAGGCACCTGGCAAAACCAGGGCTTGTGTGAGTGTGGCTAGCAGGGTGCAGGAGATGAAGGCTCATTTAGCAAACTACGAAGTCTCTGTGCGAGAGATTGGCCCAATGGGTGGGATAGTAAGATATGCAACTGGGAGCCAGATTCTCCTTGTGAGAGAGGATCGCCACCAGTGACTGGTAAACTCTCTTTCAGCTTCCCCCAGATCAAAATGGGGAAAACAATGCTTATTCCACTTGTAAAGTACAACAAGAACCATAGAGACAATAATCTATTATGTTAAGTGATTGTTATGTACGTGGGTTATTAATGGGAGCCCACTAAAACGGTACTGTTTCTAGAAATAAAGTTTTCATTTACTTTGCAGGTCACTTTGGGACTTCCTGGGTGAAGCATTATTGCACATATCAGAGGGAATCAAAGCGGATTACCATGGTACCGTTTGACCAGAAATCTGGAGGAAAAGGGGTGAGTGCCGATACACAGCGGGACTGCATGCGGTTACTGTCAGCTCATGCAGGGAGAGGTCTCTGGCATGGCTGTCTCTTCCTCCAAGGAAGATTGCAAATGAAACCTGCTGACAAGCTCTGGAAGCCATTCCTCCTCCAGCGCTGACAAACTCTCTAGTGATCTCGTTCTCTTCTTTCTCTGTCGAGCTCAGACTGAAACCATTTTTAGCAAGGTGACAAAAATGCAAGTGAACTGGGTCAAATTCATTCCAGGCTGAGCGAGTGCCACATGGGGAGTGAACTCTGCGCCTCGTAAAGAAAAAAATTCTCTGGGAAACTGTCAGCTCTTCTCACAGAAGAGCTGGTTTCCTGCGTGAGCAGCGCCCTTTGGTCGTAGTGCTGTTTTATGCTCCTCTGCGTGCAAGAATTGCTCTAGCTCTGTATTCCAGGCCTGTGACACAGTTATATATCAGGGCAAGTTCACAGCAGCTGCCTCTGGGCTGAGACTGGCCTTTTTGCTTTTAGAAGAAGAAAGGAGGAGGCTGGGAGCTGCACAGAGTCACACCATGTGCACCCATTCTGCCCAGCTCTGCAGACTTCTAAATTCCAGTCCCTGGTTCCTATTCTAGGACCCCAGAGAAGAGAATCTGTCTATAAATTTTTTTTCCTTCTCCAACCCCTGTGGCTTGGCCAAAAAGATTATTTCATTTTAACCAGAGCAGCAGCAGGCTCTGGGGGTCCCACTTGGCCGCGTGGCTCACGCAGGCACCCAGCGCGGGTGCCTCCCGCAGAGAGGCTCCCGTCTGTGGAGGCGGAGGGGGAGCTGGTCCCAAGGATGGGCTTGGCAGCGCTCCTGGGGGCCCGGGCAGCGCAGCTGTTTGCAAACACTGTCTGCTTCCAAGGGGGGATGCCTCTGGCAGCTCGGCAGGCTTTTGCACGGCTCCCCGTTGGCAAGGGGAAGTGACTGTAAGGAGGGCAAGTTTTAAAATTAATTTCCTCTTGCCTTGAAGCGTCTTCCTGATAACTCAGCTGTAAAATATCCCAGCCCTGTAATCATCAGCTGCTGCGGTGCGTTTCATGTGGGCACCCCTGCCCGCCATCCTGGGGGCTGGCTCGCGCCCAAGGCCGTGTGCTCCTCGCGCAGGGCAGCCGGGCTCGGCGGCGCGTTGGGTAGGGCTTTGCATTGGGTTTTGTGGCCTTCAGCTTTCCTAGCATGAGATACGGGACAGCCGCATCTGTGCTGTGAATGGTGCATCAGTGAGAATTACCCCACGCTGTGTGTGTTTGCAGCGCGGGGCTGGTGGCTGCTGTGGAGCTCGGCTGAGAGCCCCGGGTGCTACGTGGCCTCCTGAAACACCGGGCGTTTCGGGGATCTGCCTGGAGCGGGTGATGAGTGACCCATGGTCCAGTGCCGCAGAAGGTACCTGCTGCGCTCAGACCGCAAAGGGCGCTGCATGTTACCAACCTCTCGCAAAACTGCCTCGGGCTGTGGCTAGAGCCGGATATTAGTTGGTTTGAAACCGTGGCGTTCTTTGAAAGCAGCTCCGTGCCGGCAGCGCCCCGGTGCCTGCAGAGCTGGGAGCAGGCAGCCCTGCTGTCCCCTTAGGTAGGAGCCTTGCAGAGAACTCTCCAAAAACTTCCTTTCTGGGTCTATTCTGGGTGCATAAATACGTTTCCAGGAAAATGATGATGTCAGGGAACAGAGTGGTCAGCCAAGGTGTCATTATGAGTAGCACAGAAAGCACAGAAAAATGGCCCTCTCCAGGAGCTCATTCAGAAATTTATTGAGTCATCAGTGGACTTTAAAAATTGCAAAAGGAGAATTCTCTGTACTCGCAGGGACTGCGCAGAGATTTTGTCCAGCAGAGGACAGCAGTGTTCACGTATTGGCAGATAGCTGCTCAGCATATGGAAGTCCAGTACAACTTGGATCCAGATGCCTGGATGGGAGAATGGTTTTGTCATTGCTTTGTTATATAATAAACATTTTAAGACATGTTTGCTCCCTTTAAGAGTGTTTGTGTACAGAATGCTGCCAAAAATACAGCCAGCTCTAGAGTGAAAATTGACAGCCAGATCTATGACATGCTGTAGATAATGGAAAATAAAGCTGACTTTGCCCAAAAATTGTGGTCCAGCACTCCCTGGCTGCCTGAAACATGGGTCATGGGATGCTTGATGCATACGAGTTAATAATTTTATTGTGTGCATTCAGAAAGAAAGGTTCCTTATGAAAGTTTTGGATGAAACCCATTTGCAAGGGTAAAAGGACAAGTCCTCATTTCAGATATATAAACTTTTATTTTTAGCAGGCAAGGATTTGCTGATGTTGCCAGCATCATCTCTGGTTTGAACTTGTGAATTGAAAGCACAGTGGATACTGCGGACAGGTATATGGTCGATTGTTCTCAGCCTCATATACAATTTTGTGTCTTCTCAGGGAGAAGATGAAGCTGTTATCCTCAAATCTTGCACACGACGGAAAACTGACTCAATCGAGAAGAGGTTTTGCTTTGATGTGGAAGCAGTGGACCGGTGAGTGGCTCGAGCTAACGCGGGGCATGGCAGCATTGGGGTGCGCAGTCCTCACCTTACCTACAGGCTGGGGTGCCGAGAGGGACCTGTGCGCCCACAGGCAGAGAGTTACACAGGCAGCACACAGCTAAATATTGCACTCATATTTAGCTGGCTTTCCTGGATAGTTCTCATGCAATTTTAGTAATGTTTGACTTGCCCTTTAGTTGCACCCTCTGCGAATGGAAACCATTAGTCTATGGAAACATACTTCTCCCTGGTGTTTCTAGCCAGGTGCTCTCAATATATTGAGTTAGTGCTTCATTTTACAAGGTGCTGAGTTTACTCAAGTCTCTCTAACTTTAATAGCATTTTAGCACTTCTGCAGACTCTAACCATGTAAGGTAAATGGTCATAAGTGTGGAAAAGACGCTCTACATGTGTTTTGGCAGGGATATGACACCTCTTTCCAGTGTCAGGTATGTGTTCAAATAACTGCAGCTTTTGTGCTGGAGACTGGCTATTGTTGGTTCACCACGAGTGGTTGACAATGGAAGTCCAACTTGCATCTCCTGGCACTTCTTTTCACTTCTTTTTCTTGCAAGAGTAAATGCCTTCTGACAGGATTTACCACTTAGCAATTGGGCCAGATGTATGTGTGGATTTAATCTATAGTGCCTAGGAATGAGAGCCTGTTATTTTGTCTAATTAGCATTATGCGTGGCTTACATGTATAAGCAGGAAAACAAAGCTAGAGTTGCTATTCTAAGTGGTATTAGTCTCTGTCTCATATCTTCCTCACTGCAGGAAGTTTACTTGGTTGATGAAAAGCGTGCTCCAAAATCACCAGCTATCTGTGCCCTCGCAGTTGCGTGCCTGTTAGTTTTGCAGCCCTCCTCTTTCCCCTTCACCGGCCGCTGTGTAAATGCCCGTCAGGTCTCGGCAAAACCAGGTTCGGCAAAAATAAACATATTGAATAGAACAGTCTGCGTTACCTTTCCCTGTCCAGCCCGGGCTTCCTCAGCATTTCCGTGACAGCATCTTTTGCTGCTAGCCTAGAGCAAAAAGGGGCTTAGGGTGATTAAGCCCTGCCTGTGTTGGCAGGGTGATAAGCGGCCTGTGCTGGGCTAATCCCAGGGGCTGCCTCCCTCCCCCTGGAGCTGGGCTCTCCTCTCCAGAAGGCTGCAGTATTTCTGCTGACATGGGAATTTTTTCCTATGCCCTGAGGAGATTCCTTTTTTAATGTGAAAACCAAAATAAAACTGGGAGGAGGAGGAGAAGCCAGCCACCACAATAGTTTTCTTCTGCAGCACGTTCAGAGGCAGCTGAGCCTCCCCTTGATGTCTGGAGCCTGTTGGGCATAGGATCAAGAGGCTCCTCCAGAAACATGCCTGCTAAATGTAAATAATGGCAGGGAGCGGCAAAGGAGGGAAACCTGAGAAATTGCTCTTTTACCTCATTCCACGCACACGCTCCTGCTGTGAGAGATTCCCCCTGTCCCAGGGCACAGCCAGAACAGAAAATTTGCAATAAAAGGTTGCTTTTCCCCTCACTGTGCGGGCAGCTCGCTGCGTGTTTTGGGTATCAAAATTTGTCATTAGTTATAAAATTATAAAATAATGGAGCTTTGGGGGGTGGGGGGGGGTAGGCGGGTGGAAATTTTTACCGTAGCCAGGAGCAGCATGCGCACCCCTTTGTCCCGCGCTGCGTGAGCATCCGCGTGTCGGGAGGTCCGCAGCGGCGAAGGCTGTTGGACGCCCCTGGGCCGCTGGAGATCGTCCTCACCTCAGCTGGGGCTGCTGCCTTGGCCCGTTTTCCAAAGCAGTCTGCGTCGGGGAAGGCTTCACCTGCCAGCAGGGCGTTATCGGGGCTGCGCGGCGCGGCCTGCCCCAGCGGCGGCCCCGCTTCGCGCATGCCCCCGAGCACCTCTTTGCCCAAGTCTGCTGACCACAAATGGTAGGCTGTCTTTGAGCAAGGGCTAGCTGGAGCATTGGCCGTGTGTCTGTTTTTGCTGGATGAAGAAGGCTCATTTGGGACTTCTTGCTTGGGGCTGGGATGTTTGGAGGGGGGGGGTTGCCTTGCAGTTTTTTGGTTGTCCCTTGTAGTAGAGGAGATAGAAACTTGAAGTCTTGTTTTTCAGCCCCACGGAGGAAGTCTGAATATGTTTAAGCAAACAGACCCCAAGATACTTGTCTGTCTCACATATGTACTGCGTTTTGACTTGCAACAATTGTTTGCTTTCTTTTTAAATGCAGCTTAAAAACGAAAATTAGTCTTGTAAGGAGCGTCCAGCAGGTTTGTTTCTTCTGCAGCCAGGAGAACTGGCTCCACCTTCCATTAACCCAGCCCAGGAGAACACTGTGATTTTGAGAACATCTGCGTTTATGTTCCTGGGAGAAGGTGAATAATGGGGCCAGAACGTACTTCTCCTGAAGTTTGAAACTGCCTTTCAAAAGGCTAACTTGCAAATAGATGTATTAAGAGAGCAGAAAGATTTTTCTATGCACATTACTTGCTTGTGATGGACAATTAAATTGGGTTATCCCTTCTAAAATACATGTAGAGCAAGAGTGAAACTATGCTGGGCTCCCGGTGTGCCTCCCTCAGCGAGGACAAGGATATTGCTGTGCTGCTAGGGGTTTCAGTTTGTGAATCCCCTAGGCATCTTTCCAAATGCCTACCCCAGTGCCTTCGGTTGGCTCTGCTTAGCGCTCTGCTGGGGGCCCCTCAGGGGCAGCACGTTAACCCCTAGGGACCCATGGGCTGCAGGTTGAAATCTGTGGCTGTAGCACACGCAAAGCCCGTTGATGTCTCCAGCCATAAGGGACACCCATCATCTGTGTCCCAAGCATCTCCCCTTATTGCTCCTGTGCAGTCCAGAGGAGTGTTTGATGTTGTTCCTCCACCCACCGGCAAGCAGGCGTCCCCGCTCACACTCAGCAGCAGGTCCGGGGTGCCTGGCTCTGCCGCAGTTCTGCTCCGTGATTTTCAGCAAAGTACTTGTGAGCCTCGGTGCCATGGGGACATCGTGAAGTCCCTTCCTTCCCAGTCCCTTTCCTAAAGCGCTTTTATTTAATCAGTGTTAAAATCTTTGTGCCTAGGCTCTTAGTTACTAGTTTGTTTCATTGTGGGTTGTGTCAGTCTTACTAACCGGGGCAGGAGGAGAAGAAGGTGCTGGCTGGGCTCAAGTTCAGGATTATACCGCTGTCTTGTGGTAGCGTTGGCAGTATAAAAGCTCTGCATGATTATGATTTGCTTATGTATCAAATCCAGGGCTAACAGCTATGTGAGTATATAGTTATATGTACATATGTAAGTATATATGAGGAAATTTCACTTTCTGCTTAAATATTTTTATTGCCTATTGCCATGAAATTTGAGTAGCTCTTCAAATTCTATCCATGCTAAATTTTAAAGGTGTTTTAGGATAAGCATGACGAGAAGGGATGTCGTATAATCTCGGCGTTAGGGTGATGACATAAAATCACGAATGAGGCAGGGGCGCTCCAGCTGCCGATGTGCGGCGCAGCCGAGCGGTGGCAGCCTTGGCTGTCTCTTCCCGCATTGCGTTCGTGATCAGCACAAAAATAGACTTGTTGTCAGCGTTGCATTTCGGGAAACTGGTGTACATGCAGTGTGGGGTGCAGACTTGAACTTTATTAAAATAATGCCCAGAGAAACTTGTCAGTTTAAAAAAAGGAGAGAAAAAAAAGAATTTGGCTTTTCTCCTCTAAAATAATTCAGCACTATGGAATTGAAAATCTTGAGCCTGATCTGCAGTTAAAACATTGCTTCCTTTTCCTGCAGTCTGATAAGGAGCAGACTCCAAAGTTCCCCATACTGAAGACTAAAAAGCTGAGATACATGTGTTTGTGAGAGGGAGTAAGAAATTCCTAACACCTTATTTGCAAATAGTTCTGGTTTTCTCTGCGAGAAGGGAAGAATATTTTAACATTTTGTTCAGAATGCATTACATATTTTTACAGCAAAATTAGCCCCCAGAAAGGTATTTTAGTCTCTAGCTGAAGTATTTTTCCTAGTCCAATCGATAGTGCTGTTTCCTGTTAATGCCCTTTTTTCTAACTAAACTTGTTTGTAGTCTCTGTGCATGGAATCAGCCTTATAAACAAGGTGCACAGAGATGACAGCCTCTGTCTTACAAAATAAGCCTTAGGAGGAGGACTGTTTCGTTTGGTTGATGATAAAGGCCTTGTAATTTAGGATAATGTAGGTCATTGCTCTGGGCTGCAAGCTAAGTGCTTCTAATACCAATTGGCTTTTATGAGAATCGGAGGTATTCAGTATTTTTGGTTTGTTCTCTTAGTTGTTCGTAAAGGCAGTAGAACCGTCCACAGAATACCGTTTCTCTGGCTTACTACCTGTACGCCCCAAGAGCGGCTGGCGTCGTGCCTCTCGCGGGCTCGGGGATGGTTGGCCTCGCGTTAAGTAGGCTGTGATGAGCCCGTTCCAAGCGTTTTTAGTGACCAGATGGTTTGCAGCAGGTATGTGTGCTGGCCTTGTTCTAGGTATATGCTTCATGGATGTGCAGATTGCCTTCCTACTCCCACCCTTGACGGCGGTGAGATATATCCTCTGCTTCCTAAGGGCGATGCTGATTTTGCAAATACGCGGGGGCTCCTGCGGCCACGCCACCGCTGCCTCGTGTTCCCGGTCCCTTTTGGCCAGCGAGCTTCGGTGATCCCTTGGACATCACGTGCAATACAATTTGTACTTGTTCCTTTGCTGGTGTCGCGTTTCTAGTGACCTTTTAAACAAAGAGATTCATGGGGTTTTCGCATTCTGGCTAACAATGAGTAAACGTAGCCTGCCCTTTCTCCCCCCTCGGTGGGCTCTGGGAGACATATGTCGGACCGGGCCCCCGTGCGCAGGAAGAACATACTGGCTGCATTTTTCAGAACAGTGCTTTAAGCTTTCTTCTGCGGTTGCTGGGAGAGCATTTCAGGCATGGAAGGAGATGAAGCTTTGCTTTATATGAAAGAAAAATGAGACTTTCTGAATTCAGGAATGAAGTCCCTCCTTATTCACCGCTTTTCTTTCCTCCTTCCATCCACGCTTTGTTTTGGGGCCGTGTCTGGGTGTTGCTGCCTGGAAAAGCGCCCCGTGACTATGGGATCCTGTCCCGGGCTGGCCCAGCAGCGCGTGGGTGTGCTGCTCTGCTCAGCCCAGACCCGAAAGCTTCTTCACCACGCGCGCGGCTCCGCTCAGCCTTTGAGACTGTTATTAGTCTGTTCTTATGTTTTTCATTCAGCAGTTTAGATTGTCTTGGTGTGATAAGCGGCTACAGGAGTTGAAAGTTCTTATCTACTTCTATTGCTTTCATTACTTGTTTGTTTTTTTGGAAGCAGAAAAAGCCATTAGACTTTTTCATTTTCTCTGCATGTTTAGTCATAGCTTCTTAAATGCAGGCTGTCGTTTACAAAAGTTGAAATATTAAGAAAATTCAAATTTCCTGTGTGGTCTCATATGGAAAAACCGCTTTAATTTTCAGATTGGAAAATGCTGAAAATATGCTTTCTTGCACCACATTTGCCATGTTCTAATCTGGTCTCATGCTCCTGCGCATCCATCAGTTCAGAAATGGTTTCCTTCTGATGATAAAATTTCCTTTTGTTATTTATTCCCTTGCATCCCAGAATAAGGCAAAGGGTTTTTGGTGTCTGAAGGTTGAAATGTGTGATGCAGCGTCTAGTAATGAGTCAGCAGGTTCTTCAACTTTTGTGACAAACAAGATAATGTTTGTGTATTTTAGACTTCGGATCCATACCGGGGTCCTGGTGTACCAGTTCTAGAGAGTCTCAGCGCTCGCTCGGGTGAGCCATCCTGCCAGCGCACAGGAGGTTGCTGCAGGCTGTAGGGGCGTGTGTGCCACCCCAGGCTTTCGGGAGGGGATGGATGCTACCCAACAGGTACACCTGTAGATAAGCTCCAGAATTCAGAAACTTTAGTATGTTAGGGCAAGAAACAAAAGTGAATAAATATTTTTGGTCTTTTGAGAAGGGAAGTCAGAGAAGATCCTCTGAGAATTCCTCGTCCCAGGCTCTGTGCTGAACAGCTGAGATGCCCAAAATCTAAGGAGCACGCTCCTGGAGACAGCTGGTCCTTAAGGAAACCCCGTGAAAATGAAGCTGGTTGCAGCCAGTGAGAGCTGAGTGCAGCTGCATGTTGCCAGTGTTAGTAGGACGTTGTTTCAGCTGCAGACATCCTACCTGGCTGTTAGGCATGTGGTACCCTGTGGCGTTGTCCAAATAAATAATGAATGAGGCATAATGTGTGGGGTGCGTTTTAAATGCATCACAACCAGGAAAAACTCGTTTGCGCGGTGAAGTGGTGCCGTGGCCACTTTGGCAAATGAGGGCTGTGGGAGGAAACGTGATGCCGTTTGCAATGTAAATGGGTTTTTAATTCAGTTTCACAGCCCCTCCCCTCATGCTGTTAAATAAGTCTGACTTTGAAGTGAAGCTCGAAGAGCTAGTATCTGCTCAAAGGCAGAACAAACATTTTCCTTTTATCACCTTTTTGTCTTGTGTGTGTGAGAACCTGGCGCATGTGATACCAGTATTGTCTTTCTAGGACCTTGTCGCTTATATGAGAGGCCAGTGTCGAGTTTACTGCGAGTGAATGATTTAAATTTCTTAATGTTTTAATGTTGCAGCTTGAGAGGCAGAAAACCCCATATTTCATTTTTGCATGTCTCTCTGGCGCAGATAGAGCCTTTCCAGCGCTGTCCAGCTGGGATACCTGTTCCTTAAGGAGCAGCTTGCTTTAAACTCAGCATGAAGCACTAGTTCAGCGGGAGCGCAGCCGGGAATCTCTAGTCCCCAGTTCCAGGTGGGCAGGAGTCCTCGGCCACCGTCGCGAGTACTGCTGCCCTTCCTTAGGCACTGCCGTCCCCTCTGAATGGCTTTGTCTCTGCACAACGAGGAGCCTTGTTCAGTGTTTTGAAAACGTTTGGCATTGGATGCCGAACATTTTCTTTCTCAAATGGGGTGATGGTTAAGTGGTTTCCTCTTCCCTTCGAAATGAGTAAACTTCCAAACCACTAAGCTGGTGAGTACTGACTGACTCACCAATGGGATTAGCGAAGATCAAATACATTATGTCTGGTTTACTTGGACATAAGCTTCTTGCAAGCCTGAACATACTGCTTCTACTGGTTAAACTGTGTTAAGCTGTCTTGTATGTGCAGTATGTGAACTGCCTATTTGTCTAGGGAGTGCAATTAGGAGCAGGTCTTAATTCTTTGTTCCTTGCCCGTATGTACCACAGAAGCAGTAGAAAATGGGTCAAAACCACGAGTAGGAGAGCCCCTGTTAATGTTTTCTTTTTTGACAGAGAATCAGCTCTTATCAAGGACCGAACAGCTTTTGCAGAGCGCGTTACTGCAGCTTACGTTCTCCCGCTGAATCAACCCTCCCAGGCCTTATCTGTTGTTGAGGACTTAGTACCAAAAAGAGTCTACGTGCTCTGCTGAACGCTATCTGTAGGTTGTTGGCCACTCCTGAAGTCAATTCACTCATCCCCCTCTTGCACCACGAGCAGCCTTGTGCCCAACAAGCAGTTATGCTCCAGACTGGCTTTTCTGGAATTCCTTGAGCTTTGCAGTGGATGGAAACTGCAGTGTCAGAAGTTCTCTGCTCTAATCCTTTTGATGGATGAAAACCCACAAGTATTCCTGCAAAGAGAGCCCTGATAAACATTTCTGATCACGTTGGATTCTTGCAGTTCCTCTTGCCATGCCTGCGTTTCCCCGTTGCCAGGGATTCTGTCCGCTTCCCTTGCGTAGAAATAGCTGCGCTGCGGTGCTAACGCATCTGAAAATAACTTGGAAGGAAGCAGAAAAACTAGACCAAACAAACAATACAGAAAACCCAGCTGATTTGCTATCTGGGCCGCCTCGCCAAAGTTGAAGCCGATGTCCTGTCCCTGGGTTTTGTGAGCACAGCGCAGCAGTCCCTCGGCGGGACCTGCCTGGAATCCCAATGAGGCTGCAGGAGGCTGCTGCTCCGGAGCCCGGGACCCCGTGGAGAGCCCCAGCCCCGCTCGCCAGCCTGGGAGGGTGTGCGGCTAGCCAAGCATTTTGTTTTCTGTATTTGTTGGCTGCAAGAGAAACCGATATTCAGGATCGAAAGCCTGACAACTTGTACCCAGATGAAATAAAGCAAATTGTCAGGCCATTAAGTGTCCTGCAGGAATATGTCGTTTGCTGTCTGCAGCATAGTTTCTCTGTTATGCATACACATAGTTGTGCCTGAAGCTGAGAGTGTGCAAATATTCTCCTCTTTAAGACCATTGTGACCTTGGTAGGCAGAGTTAAATAAGTAAGTTTTAACTCTGTAAAGGAAAAGGGTAGTCCAAGGTTGTCCAGAAGCTGTGGAGGTGGTATCCTCCCCGAGAGGGAGGACTGGGCTGCTTTGGTTCCCAGGCTGCCCTTGCTTGTTTGCAGTACTGGGTACTGCAGTCACTTTTTCTGTCCTTTCCCTTTCTCCCTCCTCTTTGAAATAAGTAAATACAGAGTTATTTTTTGGTGGTTGAATTTACAGTGCGGCTCTCAGACTGTTGAGTTGGTAAAAGCAGGGGGGTGGATAGCAGCACGGAGGCAGGAACAAGCTGCCCAGGAGGGAACGTCCTGGGCCAGTGTTCTCGTGAAAAGCCATCGTGCTGTGGCTGCACCGCGATGCTTTCTCGGGGAGCCCCTCGCAGCACTCGCACCATGAGGCTGCTGCGTTTTGCATGGAGCTGCATCAGTACTGCTGTATAATAATCTCAGCGTATGGCCGTAGTCAGGGAAAAGCAGTTGTTACGCAGGTGTGAGCATTTCGGGGACAGAGGTACTGAACTTCTCTGTGCCGCTGCAGGTCCCTCCTGCAAGCTGGGTGCTGGGGTGGAGGAAGCGTGCGCGGGCATGGGCCCTTTGAGCCTCTTGGTCTGTTTGGTTCGTCCTTGGCATTCCCCTGTCCCTGATGCAAACGTGGCTGGCCCCAGCAGGTGAGCTGTCTGGGCGGAAAGCCAGAGGAAGACTTTGGGGTCCAGCATCGAACTCTGGTTCTCTTGCTCAAAAGACATGCTGGGAATGCGGGTTCATTCTTGGAGGTGTCATCTGCTCGTCTGTTCATCCCGGTTGGGACCAGCAGGGACATCCCTGGAAAGGCTCGACTGGGATCAGCCCCCGGTGCTGCTGGGCTCAGCTGGGAGAGAGGTCACCTTCCCCTCGCTGTCTCTCTCCTGGGGCTTTTGTCTTTGCCATCCTTGTGTTCCTTCCTGCAGCCTGCTGACGGTGTTCCCTTTCTCTCGGCAGGCCTGGCGTGATCACCATGCAGGCGCTCTCCGAAGAGGACCGAAGGCTTTGGATGGAGGCGATGGACGGCCGGGAACCGGTGAGCAGAAATATTAGTGAAAACTGTTGAGGAAAAATGCGGAGAGCTTTTCCTAGCCCGGGGCAGATTGTCTGCTGCGAAGCAGCCTGTCACGCGGAGCCTGCCAGCCGGCGTGAGAACTGTATCCGTGGGGCAGCTCACGCAATCTGCCAAGAGAATAGTTTAATCCCTTGGTTAAATATTTGAGGTAATACTGTATCTCCTGTGCTTGGATTGCTCGAAGGTGCGGTGGAAAGAAGGAGGGTAGGCTTAGCCAGCACAAACATGCTGCTGTGCTGTGCTAAAAGGAAAACATGGCAAAAAGAGCGGTGGAAGAAAATACACTGTAGATTTCCAGGGCTTTCTTCGAGCCCTGCAAATCATCTGGCAGCCGTTTCTGGGTCTTGCAGAGTATTGCAGATGTAGTGTGAACTGAAGAGTGTAGCCCCCTTCTCACTTACTCGGTGACAGCCTCCGTGTTCCTGCATCTGCTCCCGTCACGCTGGAGCTGCACAGGTTCCCCCAGCGCTGGCAGGGAATAGGGAGGCTTTCAGACAGTCCAAAGGGTTTTTCCTGTGTTTGCACGCTCTCCTGATGAGTTTGAAGAGCTCTGATTCTGAACAGGCTCCCTCTGACACATTGTGGTGTGGTGCCTTGCGTCGGTGGTTGGATCCTGCCGTTTCTGAAAAGCCAGTGGTGCAGCAGCAGCAAGCACGAACCTGAGGAGCAGCCCTTGAGCACTGCGTGAGGTCAGCCTGGGGGCCTCAAGGCCTTGGCATGGCCAAAAGTGTAGCAGGATACGAAGAGAAACTTTGCGGATAGTTAGAGTGGCCAGGGTTGTTATGGGACAGTCTGTACATATTTGGATTAGGTGTCTGTTCTTCTGGGCTGAAGTCAAGCTCTGGTGATCAGCTGAGAGTCCGTGAGGGGATCGGGCTGCCCCGGCCCGAAACAGCCTCACGGCCACACACTGGTCCTGACTTCAGCAGACCCCCTCAGGCTGGTCCACTGAGGTGTTTGTCAGAAAAAGCTGTTCATTACTGCAAGGATACACATGGACTCTCCAGCGCATGTTTTTAAGCACGTGCTGTTGTTAGTCAAACAACTTACCTTTGAGTCATCTGCAGTGATGCAGAAGTCTGAAAGGCGATGCGTGTTTGAAGGTGCTGCAGTGTATTGCGGGTAAAGCGTTTCCCTGTGGACTACAGTAAGGTCTTCAGCTTTGAATCACCAATTCATAGGATAATTCAGGTGGAAAGGGACTTTGGGAGGTCTGTGGTCCCATCTCCTACTCAAAGCAGGTTACTCGGAGCTTTATTCAGTTAGATGTTGAAAATGCCCGAGGAAGGAGCCTGCCCCCAATCTCTCTGGGCTGCTTATCTGTCCTCTTGTGGAAGAGTTTCTCTGGATATCCAGCTTTGAACCTCTCTTGTTTCAACCTATGCCTGTTGTCTCTTGTCCTGCTGTCATGCCCTGCTGCCAAGAGCCTGGCTCTGTCCTGGTGCCCTCCTCGTCGGAAGGCTGCTGTCAGGTGTCCCGAAGCCTTTCTTCCTCCACACAGGGTAAGCCCTGCTCCCTAAGAGGGCACGTGCCATGTAGCGTGGACCTGCCAACGTTGCTGATCGCACCTCCCTGCTGTGCAGTTGTGCTATCGGGACAAAGTTGCTCAGCTGCAACTACAGCCGCATACCATTTCCAAGAAAAGGCGTGGGAGATGCATGCATAGAGGCGAAAATGAGCCTGAATGTGTGTTGCATACCAAGAACTAAGGACGGCCCCTACTCTCTTTCTCTAACGTTTATGGAAAAGGGACCCTTGTTTGGCAGTCAGCCTTCTTGACCTCGGCTCTTGCCCAGGTGGCCCTTCCCTGGGGCAGCCGCGGTGGGGGATACTCCTGTGCAAGTCCTACCAACCCGTCCAACTCCCACGTGCGAGCTGTCATCTTCCCTCTTAAACCAAGCCCTACACTGCATCTATGGGCGGCAACCAGAGACAGGATAATATTTTCTTTTTTTTTTCGGTAACAAAAAGTGCATCCTTGCCCATCGTCTGAATTAAGCCTTGTCCCTGTTCACCTACTTCCCGCTACCTCACCTCCACTGAAAAATTTTGTTGTAAGGATGTGAAACAGTCACCTGCAATTGCAGCTGCATGAATACAAGCACTCAGTTGCATTTTGACCAGCTGATGTTATCAGGATTTGGCACAGTCGTAGGGCCAGTCTGTCAGGATCGGGTTGCAGAAGGGCAGCCAGCAATTTGTAAGCACCGCTGGTCAGAGGCTGGTTTTTTGCTTGCTTGCGCAGTGCTGTACATGCGAAAGGCGCTATGAAGTAACAGCTGCAGGACTGCCCAGATAATCCTGTTTCAGAAGCTGGTTAGGTGAACTAGTTCAAAACCACGCAGGTCCTCACGCTGCCGCCTGCCTTTCTCCCCTATCATGCCCATCAGCGTCGGGTAGCTTGCTCATCCAGCACATCAAGGGCTGTTGCTGCGCGTTCATGCAATACCTCGTGGCGTTTCAATGCTAAAGGCGTTCAAACCTGGCCTTCCAGGTGTGCTGCGGGAGCCCGCGGGAACAAAGCCCATGTGGAAATGGATCCAAGAGGCATTTTAGTGATGAAGACAGTGTGTGTTGACAATGTGTTGACAGGCAAGGTAGCTCCTTGTCCTCAGTTATCCTCCTTGCTCCAGCAAGAGTTGCAGGAAATCAAGTTTTTGGTCTGTTTTGTTTGGGTTCTTATCTTGCAACACGAGGGTGTGGGATGTTACCTACTCCACAGAGATTTCCTTGAGCAATAGACAGGGATTTAACCTTTGGAGTCCTAGAATTACCCATTCTAGGCTTTGAATATATTTTTGTAACCAAAAAAACCCCTACTGGAAAGAATGGCTCTTTTCTTGCTCATTAGAATATGGAGCGTGGGAAAGTTTGGCATGGTGGGGGCTGCAAATCCATGGCAAACTGAGGCGCTAGATTAAAGTGGACTGGAGTCTGTTTCTTAATTATAATTTAAAAACTAAAACCAAATGTTGCGTTACGTTTTAGTAAGATCTAAACATAGAATGTGGGCTGCATTAGCCAAGACGTTTGTCACAACTTGAAAAGATTTATTATATATCTTACAGTCAAAGCAGTCTCCAGATAACTATCATTAGTCTGTTAACTCTTACCACTTGTTATTAATTTGGCTAAAAACCCTGTGTTGACTTTAGATTTTCTTTTATGTTAGAGGCTGGAAATAGGAGAAAATGTTAGCTCCGTAACAGAGCAGTTGCACTGTTTTCCATGAAATTATTCGGGGCAAGTTTCCTATGGCCGCCCCCCGCCCCAGTGATGCAGTTTATAAATGTATATGGTGGAGGCCAGGGTGATTCTGAAACTTTGTTAGAGACTGAGTCAAGATTAAAAGGTGTATTGGCTTATAGGGGGGACTGTGGTAGGTTGTAGGATTGAGAGAGGCACAAATTAGGCTGTTTGCTTGGTGGCAAAGAACTGAACAAGATAAGCATTTCAGTGAGCTTGTGGCTTTGCTTGCCAAGTACGCAGTGAGCGTGCCAGCCCGAGAGCGATCGCCGCGACAGCGGGTCCTGCTGTTGCCTTCCAAGCAGATCGGTAATCTTGGGAATAATTCTCACATCAGCACGAGCAGAAATGTGACGTTAGTTTTGGGAAGTGTTTGGGACTTAAAAACGTTTATCGACAAAAAATGAGCTTAGCAATGTAAGAGTAGGCAGAGGGTTAAGAATATGAAGCCTATTAGATCACGTCCCTGTTGAGCTGGATTAATCCATCGTCTATGGCCTCGATTAGGGATGGTGAAGTTAGTGTTAAATGGCAAAGGCCATTCCTGTGGTCCTGACGGCGGGAATAAGACATGGATGGGATCTGAGCAGTGTTGTTTTGGCTCTCGCATCATGCTGCCCTTTGCTCGATTTGTTTTGTTTTGCTTTTCTATTCTTTAAAGCTATGCAAGTCTATAAAAGTGCAGCAAGCGTTTCATACAGTTAATGCTGTGAAGCTGGACGCACCATCAGCTGGGACGAGGCAGCCGGCTCCAGCCTGTGTTTCGGGGAGGGAAGGAGGGAGTGCTCTGAAACGGAGACTCACCAAGGCTGTTCTCGTCTTTCCTTCTTTGTTCCCCTTACCCCCCTTCAAGTCTTTAATATGTTGTAAGTTTGTAAGAGCAGCAGTAAGTCCCTGAGGTGTGTTGGGGGGCTAGAGGTTGGTCTCTGGATAGAAAAGCAGTGGTGCAGAGGCTCAGGCTTTGCCCTGGGACCTTCCAGAAGCTGAACGCATCGGGCTGGAAGGGACCCACTGAGCTTGGCAGTCGTGTGACTTAGTCCGCTCGTGATGAGGCTCCGTCCTCTGCAAAGCAGATGAGGTTTCTGCTGCCATTTTGGAAGGCTGTTCCAGCTCCTCGCTGCTCTGATGCCTGGAAACCTTCCCTCAGTTTTCCCACCCACCCCAGTTTATTCACGTCCAGTTCGTAGACGTTTGCCCCTGCGATGCCGTTGCCTGTCAGGGCTCTCCCCTCCCTTTCCTACCCTGTATGCGCAGCCCTGGAGGGGCACGGCTGCCCCGAGGAGCTGGGCAGGGCTGCCCACAGCTCGCACGTAGTAGCTGGGACGATTAACAGTGGTAATTATGGCCCTGGTGCTGATCTGCTGGGTGCTGGGAACTCGTCATTCCCCTTCCAAGCCAGGGCTGGGCCCTGGTGAAGATGTGATGCCGTTTGCCAGTGCTGGGATCTCCCGATGGCTCGGAAGTGGTTAGAGCCGAGTTAATGGAAGCCCAGAAGACAAGATCCACAAAGGCTCTTAAATGATTTTTGAGATATTATGGAGACACTTCAACTCTCTTTGGCCTTCCTTCAGTGCTGAAGAAGTGCGGGGATGTGCTCTCTGTTGCAATAGCGCTCGTTTGTCTTGAAGTGCCATGTTCATGGTGGGTCTGGCGTTTATTAGCCTAACAATGTAAGGCACGAGGCGAGTTCAGCGTGCCGTCGCATGGGTGCCCGA